TGTCGGCTTTGATGTGCACCAATCCTCCATTTTTCTGGTCTTAAAAAACCTTTCATGGCGATGGCGTTCGCTCGTCTCTAATTGCGATTATGGATACTTGGTCAAAGAATAGCCCTGTATTATCCCAACTGCGGTTCATATCTTGGATGCCAATGCCATTCATGGTTCTGTTAACAACATCTACGGTACAGAAATCGTCTGTAGTACTAGAAATTCAGAAATAGTGCTTCTAAATGGTTTAGTTTGTAAAGAAATGCAAGTTGTTTACCTGCTGCCTCACGTATCCACATGTCCCTCCACTTGATTGATGACTGGGGCCTTCAGTGTGGATGATTCGTGCCTTCCTTTCGTCATCGGATTTTTAGTATGCGACGTGTTTGCTTTTCTGGTAGTAAAACTCACCTTTTCTCTTTCCTAGTCGGGTCGTGTGATTCGCTGCGAAGACGAGGGCCAATGGCGAGAGGACAGTGAACGGGAGCGCGCTGGCGGTGAAATGGGTCAACTTCGTGGTCGTCCTCGTGGCGGTGTCGTTGGTGGTGGTGGCGGAGGCGAACGAGACTACCGAAGGTTAGTGGTACCCTTCACTTATAAGCTATCATCTGGCTAGAACTTAAGGTCATCAAGAAATTAATCACTTTTGATCAATTCGATGAATAGAAGGTGCTTTTCTGCTATGCGTAATGTTAGTTAACAACAAAACACATTGTGGTTAGTAATGGTACATTCCACCGTTTTCCAAAGGGAGAAGTTTGTTAACTACGGAGGCTTATTGCGAATTCGGCATAATGGTGGGCATCATGGGCTGGTGATACCATGAGATGAATTGCTTGTAGTTGGGGTTGGTTTGGAAGTTACTTGAAACCTACCATTACTTCTGTGTTCAACTGACAAGTCTTCAACAGTCGTTTTCATTCTGGGCCTATAGATTCGGTGTCGCTGTTCTCAATTTCGCTAACACTTGTTCCTGGTATAAGGTAGCAGGAGGTGAAGATTTCTTCTAATATACACTACGAGTTTTTATAAAAGCGGTCAAAATACCTCGACATTCTCCCTCGGGACTGAATCATGAATGAAATACTACTTATCTGCCATTGCCTTACAATTGCTGACTTAGATCTCAGCGATTTGCGATTGTGGGGGATACTTCTTTTC